AAGTGGAAAAAGCCTAAAAGGGAAAAGCCAAGACACCAGCCGAAATCTCTCAGTAATTACAATGCAATCCTGCCCATTGTCAGTGAAAATTAATATCAGCTGGTTCAGTCCCAAATGATGGCCTGTAAAAAGGTGGCTCTGGTATCACACAAGAAACGTCTCCTGATGTGTAAAACTAAAGATCTTTCTCAAGACCTTAATGATGGCATCAGTTACAGAAGGATTTCTAAACTTCTGAATGTTCCAGTGAGGACTGCTTGGGGCATAATCTGCAAGTGTAAAGAACATAATTTCACCATAAACCGACCACAACCTGGTGCTCCTCGCAAGAGTTCTGATAAAGGAGTTAAAAGAACTATCAGTAGAGTTGTCCAACAGCCAAAGACCAATTGTGGAGAGCTTCGAAGGACCTGGAATTAACCGGTAGAATTGTCTCAAAGAAAACAACAGGTAATGCACTCAACAGCCATGGCCTGTATGCACGCTCACCACTGCTGAAGAAAAAGCATGTTGAAGCGCGTTTAAAGTTTGCTGCACATTTAGACAAACCTGTGAAATATTGGGAGAACATAGTCACCCCAAAAACACCATACTAACAGTGAAGTTTGGAGGTGGGAACATCATGGCGTAGGGATGTTATTTAGCATATAGACCTGGCAAACTTCAAATAATTGAATTAGGGATGAATGGAATAATGTACAGAGACATTATGGATAAAAATCTTGTGCCATCTACCAGGATGATGGAGAAATATGGGTGGACATTTAGAGCAAGACAACGACCCTCAATTGGTTTCAGAGAAAGAAAATAAAGCTGCTAGAATGGTCCAGCCAATCACCCGACTTGAATCCAATAGAAAATCTATGGAAAGAACTAAAGAGTTCATAAAAGAGGTCCACGTAACCTTCAAGATTTGAAGACTGTGGAAGAATGGGCCAAAATCACATTAGTGCAATGCATGTGACTAATTTCTCCATACAGTAGGTGTTTTAAAGCCATCATTGCCAACAAACATGATACCAGTATTTAATACTGGTAGATAATTAATAAAACTCGAGGAATTGTAAAAAGCGGATCCAAAAAAATGTATGCATCATGGTGGCAGAGGATTAGTTAACTTTCAAACTAAGATACAGCCACTAAGACTGAATTCATTTTCCATTGCATTTTCCAAACAAAACAAGTGTTTGCTTTTCCATTCATTTAAGTTGTTACTAAACGACGAAGTGAAAATGCCCCTTAAGAAATTCTTGACACCTCTTTCATCTGACAGCTGATTAACTGAACAGCCCTAAGGACTCCATATCCTCCCCCATGTCAAGGAGTCAAAGTATTTGAGGCCCTCAGGTCTAACACTGTTTCCATTATGCTTAACTATAACCAGCCCCGCCTGCGCCTTGCTTACTGCCCTCAGGGGGCATCAAAGAAAAGGGTCCTTCCACTTCAAATCCTATAGATTTGGGGAAAAAAAGTCAGTCTGTTAAGCTGGACAGACTCAGTGTTTGGCTCTAGAAGTGTTGTTTTCCCTTTGTTTTCTACTTTGGGAGGGTGAAGTTTAATCCTAACTTCCCTGTGGCTCCGACCTTCCTGCTCCCAGTGGAGTTTCCCACAATAGCACAAAACAACCTAAACTCCCCCACAAACCCAGACCTGGGAGCCTGCTTCATCTGAGCGCTCCAGGGGGGCAGGGCTGACGCTGCTGTGGGCACTCAGAGCTCAACCTGATCCTCTCCTTCAAATCAAAAAGTAAGCACTGCTGAGAAGCATTAGAAACATCGCCTCTCTCTCTCTCTCTCTCATTTGAGTCTTGGATACTAAAAGCATAAAGTGATATCATCCCTGCTCTCAGCAAAAGAAACCCTAGAGTTGGAAGTTAGGAGACGAGGTACAGGCACAAATAAGGAAAGAGAAAATAACAAAGAGGAGATGAGAATGTGACAAAGGAAGAAATGTCTCGCTATTGTTAGGCTGCTTTTAGGGGAGTAAAATGAGAAGTAGTTTTTGTTTTTAAATGCTCTAAAAACCCAACAGACACCAGTCCATGTCAGAGTATAGTGCACCGATATCCTGCAGACACAACTGGGAAGAAAAAAGTTATGTGTGCAGAATAACTTTACCTGGATGGCAACTAGTGACAGAAATGAGCCCGATTGAATGGATCTGACCAAAATAAAGATGAAACCTTTAAACAATTATTGTTTAATATCAGCAAAAACAAGGAAGCGATAACAGGAAGCAAGCTGCTGACATGATGTTTCCCCACTCTAAGGGCGCATCGACACACCAGTAGTGTGTTTATTACGTTAGCTGGGGCTTTCCAGCTCAATAGCCATCACAGGTGGTCCAGCTCAGTTTGTCCAGATCTATTGTTTACCTCCATATTTAAACAGCCAGCCCCCACTTCCTAATTCAGCAGATAAATATATATGATTGGTTTTAAGCTCTGGTGAGGCAGACAAGGGGAATATCTTTACACGGATTACTAGATTAGTTTTGCAGGAGTATAATATCATAAACTAAAACAGAATTATTGTATATAAAATTGAACTTCAGATGATATATATGCATATATCCAAATGCAAAGGCCAGGGTTTGATGCGTGTTTTTTAAATAGTTCTCTTACTAAAACATTGAAATGTTGCTGTATTTTTATTATTATTTCATCCACTTTTTGTGAATCCCTAGCCAAGCAAACCTACAACATGATGCTCCCCCCGCCATGCTTAATGATTGATGCAGTGCTGTACATTTTTTTAAGTTTGATCGTTACTATTGCCATCATGGCGAACTGGCTCAATATCTGCCTTGTCCCAACATAACTGTTTCTCCAGAAGGTACCTGGCTTAACGCACGCAGCTAAAACTTTCAGCGGAACCTGAATGTGTTAAATGTGCGGTTTAAGAGCTTTTACTGTGGAGAGTAATAATGGTGAAGCAGCTATTTCTAGCATGCGGCTGGAAACCAATGTTGTTCTGGAACATCCTGAACAATTCCCTTTCATCTTAGCCTGACAATTTAGGTTGATGCTCCTAAAATAGTCAGAATTTCCACACTGTAAGACAATAAAGGGTTTATCTATTCTATTCTAAACCCAAACCCACCTCAGTGCTGGCTTACCTCGTTGGAGTTAGGCTTCTTGAATGACCTTCCCAAAAGTCCCCCTATAAAACCTGCCTGTGTCACAAAAAAACAAACCCGTTTGAAGGTATTTTGTTAAACTGCAATAATGTAAGATCCAAGCAAAAGTTCTGTCAGTAGCTGTCTAACAGATGATGCTTAATTACAAGGTTTTGGTTAGGCTAGGACCAGGGGCGTCCAAAGCTTTTCATAAGTGTGGGGGAATATGGTCTGTCCAAGGTTGTTGAAGCAAACATTAGCAATCAGAGTTATATTTTTTTACAGCGGATAAAATAAGTATTGAACATGCCACCATTTTTGTCAGTAAATACATTTCTAGAGGTGCTATTGACGACATTTTCACCACATGTCGGTGACAATCCATCATATCCACACATACAAAGACATCAAACCATAGATGTCCAGAAATTAAGTTATTTGTAACAAAGTGGAATTGAACAGGGAAAAAGTATTGAACATGTGAAGAAAGGGAGGTGCAAAAAGGCATGGAAAAGCCAAGACACCAGCTGAAATCTCTCAATAATTAGAAAGCTATCCTGCCCCTTGTCAGTGCAAATTAATATCAGCTGGTATATTTATTTTACCTGCTGTATTTCTGTCCCTCACGTTTTCCCTCTGTAATCAATGTTTTGTATCTCTATGAATGAATAAAAAGTCTGTATGGACGGCTCGTGCAGCTCTCCCTTCAAATTTTCCAATCAGAACCAATCAAGATTCTAGACAACCCAATGTTGACTAGAATGTTGTTCATATGAGATAATAACTGGAATATTTAGTGACTACACATCAAGATTTAGGCTTATTTGGTTCATGTTTTAAAACAGAAACTCGTATCTACTCCCCTCTAACTTTGAGCGAGGGGATGCATTTCTCAGCAGGCGCGTGTTTCTTGGCATGGCGACGGCCAGCGCCTCACCCTATTGGCCAATCGTAGTCAGAGCTATTCACTTCTCTGATAGGACATCTTACCCCCTAAAATGTAAGATTTGCTTCAAATAATCAAATACAATAGTTAAAAAAATAGGTAACAAAATGTCCAGAATGCATTTGCTGCAAGTTTGAGTTAGGACTGGCAGTAAGTGACAGACTTAAAAGGGCTTTTAGGCAGGGGAATGTTAGGTAACATATGCTAGAACCATTGAAGCGTTGGGAGCAGATGGTATTTCCACTTGGAAGAAGTGTCAGGAACCCCAATAATATCATCACAAGAATAACAGGAAACTGTGTTTGCCTTTGTATTGTCTTCCTCCAAAGGAAAAGCTTTATTTTAGTCAGTTAGTTGCAGGTCTAATTTGTTTTGAGACTGGTATTGCATCCAACAGAGCTTTTGGATAATAAGAAGTAAAATCTTTCACTGAATCATCTTCAGAAAAAAACAAAACACCTTCAATAATTATAATTGATGCGCTGTGTAGCAGTTTCTGCTTCCTAATTCATGAGAATCTCATGGGAGATAAAAATAAAGCATCCATCTACGGTAAATAAAAACTAAAAATGGATCGTTAATTCGTTTTGATCTAAAGCAGTGTTCACAAACTAATCCTACAACTTTTAAATGTATATGTACAGTATACATTTAAAAGTAAGTATTTCTCTCCTTTGATTCAGGTGCATTGGACCTGAGACACATCTAAAAGTTACAGGACAGACAAAGACACAAGAACCATGATCCACAGGGATTCTGCAAAGATAAATGGTTAGAAATCCCCTCTAAAACCTTAGGAAATGTTCTGGGAATCTGTTGGTGAAGAGGAATCCTATAATGTATTGACAGATGGTAGACAGAATGGAAAGGGGTGAGGAAAGGCGGAAAAGGTCTCTAGGTTGAGATCGGTACCCCGAAAAATATGCAAAACACCAACCTTTGGAGTGGAACGTGACAGCGATAGAAGCCAAGTCTCCTTTAAAAAAACAAATGATGTAAGAGTTCTTTCTTGTTGCTCCACCACCTGAAGAGAAACGGCAGAAAGAAAAAAAAAAAATAGCTGAGTCCAAATGACAAAACCATACCACCTCCAGAGGCTAACGGTTTAAGTCATCGCTGGCTCCCCAGCAGTATCATTGCTCATTGGTACTTTCCATCTAATCATGTCAGAGGGAAGAAGGTGCACCTGGAGGAGCTTAAACTGTTTCACATGTTCATGAAAAACGAGAGCAATCACTGACGTCTGCGAAACGCAGGGCAAAGTTGCATAATGTTGAGCACAACATAACGGTTGTGACTCAGACCAGGGAGAAAGAAAGGTGAAAGGTATAACTGAATGATGAACAACTTGATAGAACACAGAATTAAAATGTGCAAGCTTCAATGTTCCAGTTTTAGTTAATATTTCCACCTGAATGTGAGAACTGTTCTAGTATTTACTTTAGAAATTGGACTGATTAAACTGTGCAGAGACTGATTTATATTCATCAGGTCAATAAGAAGCAAGGCTGTGGTCACATTTAATTTGTAAATTTCTGAGAAAGCCCCTCTGCAACAGCTTGAATCGTTATCCATCAATATAATTTAAACTATTAAACCGATCAAAGAGTTTTAAACTCTGACCTGTGGAGAAAACGAACCGAGAGAAAGTCATACCCTTAATTATGCTGTTCTCTTTCACACTGTTACACAATTTATACTTAAAATAACTGCTGTTTGATTTCATTTATTGCAGCTAATCTCATTTCCAGGGTATTCTCAAAGAAATTATTTGTGCGAGACAACTCAACAGGCGACAAGGTTTCAAAGGAGCCCAGTAAAGACAAACTAAGCTAACTGCATCTTCATACTTGAAGCTACCTTGAATATATAACGATTTTTGTCATATTTTGCTGTAAATACTCTTTATTCTATTGTAATACTCAAGCAAAATCTTAAAGTTGCAAAATTAGAGCAAATCATTTTAGTCTTTATTACAAAGATGGTTCTTGTTGGGTGGAGAGAAACTTGCTTAACTGATATCTAGAGGTTAACAAGTAGGCCTGTTTCGCATGTTTTGCTCTTATTCTAAATAGGAGAGCTATTTGCCTTTTTATGATTTTTTTTAAAGAGAAAATTATGAATAAAAAAAAATACAGCTCTTTACAAATTCACTTTAAGACACTGCCGTTATACAAAATGTCGGATAGCCTAGTGTGGAAGCAAAAAACTAAAACAAGACAGGGATTTTAAAGTTAAACCAGTCATTATGATGATGGAAATTAGCTGGATGTTGTTATTCCATCAAACACACAGAAAAAAAAAACCTTTTCCCAAATTAAAAATGGAGAATTGACAAACTGCATTTCTTAAATTCACAATTTTCCTGCTTGAAAAAGAATCCCAAACACGTTTCCTCTGTAAACAGAGGATTCAAGTTACTTTGCCTGCTTCATACAAATGGCACACGGATGTCCTTCTGTAGATAATTAACTAATGGCAAACTGTTTCCCCCCATTTTACATACCTTTTGGAAGACTTCTAAAGCTTATTGACCATCAAGCTCAGCACTTAGCTTAGTTAACCCTCTAGTGAGAGTATCACTTAATGAAATTTGCTGAGAAATGCTAACACAGGCTCAAATGACGGGTAACTGCAAATAGCTCAGGGGTAAAACTTCGATCAATCATTGGTCCCTACAGTGGCTTCAAGGACAGTCATAGTGATAAAATACCTTCATTGTTACACAGAAATAATACTCGTCTAGCCCGGCATTTAAGATCTCTCATTAATCTCTCTTTGGCTTCTGCTTACATCATCTGCAAAAAGGCTATGCATGCGAACACGCCATAAGTCAGCTGCAGCAAGACGTGGGGAAACAACTCGTTCCCAAGAGGTATGCATGCAGTTTGTCAAAAGCCAAAGAAACAGCTGTGAAATGGTCAACAAAGCTGTCAGGAAGTGATTTTTTTAAAAATGATTCACAAAGTTATTAAAGAGGTGTCTATAAATCTAAAAGTTAGGCCACAATATAATAATAATTATCCAAGTATCTTTACTCAAAAGCTGTATGTTCATTTCACTGCATCCACTCACCCATAGTGGACCTACAAATCTACTCACAAGTAAACCTACTTTAAGTTTAAAAGATTTAGCAGAAAACTGGGAGATTTTAAATATAAGCATTGTTCTGCCCGTTAATAAGAAACCAATTGATAGAATTCAATTTGAGGCCGAAATAAAACACAATTGTTCTTCTGAAATTTAAGCATTTTATACAAGGTGCCAGCAGGTGGTTGTCAGCATGCAGCTTAATCCGGTGAAACAAAACAATCTTATTAGAATCAATAACAGAGAAAAAGATGAGCGATTTAAGCTTAACATCTTATATCTATGTTTGTGAATGGTATTTAAATTGGGCTGATTGACAGGACTCCGTTTCGAAAGAAGAGAAGATGCCACCATCACTTTTAAGTTGTTTATCCAGCAGCATTCTGGTTATATGGGAGAAAAATATGACGTTGATGGCCAAGCTACAAGTGGTTTGTGGTTCTGTGAAAACATCCCAGCTAAAGGGCTAGTTTACAGATTGTTAATAAGTCTGGGCAACGCTTCTTTAATTAGATTGAAATTGTATTTGTCACAGTTTTGGTTCTGTTATGTTTTCTTTTGAGTTTTCAGTTTTACTTTGCTCCATGTTTTCTACTTTTAGTGGTTTAATTCTTATTTTTGTTGTCTTCTCTGGTTATTTTTCAGTTTTTTATTTGTTGCCCTCTGCTGCCCTCTTGTGTTCTCCTTTTTCCCTAGCTCCTATTCCTGTCTGCTCTGTTCACACCTGCTCCCACTCTGCTCATTAGTCCTCTCTTCGTTTCAGTCTCCCATAAATACACTCCTTATGCAGTTCCTCAGTGGCGGTTGCTCATCTAACTTCCTCCAACTCCGTCTCTCTAAGTCTTCCTCGTCGTGATAGTTTTTCCCCTGATGTCTCCATGGTTTCTGGTTTCTTTGATTTTGACTTTTTTTGATTTTTTGATTTTTTGGATTCTTGCCTCAGTTGTTTGTTAACACTTCAATAAATCCACAAGAAACTCACCTCTGCCTCCCTGTCTCTGCATTTGGGTCCTCTAGCCACAACCAAATCCTGACAGTATTGGCTTGGTTTAAACAGAAATATGTTAAATTTTTATGTTTTTGTGGCATTTTGATCCCATTAAATGTTAAGAAAAATAAAAACCAAATAGGTTTATAAGGTTTATAAATAGATTTTATAAACCTGGACTGCAGTATTATACATTGGATCAGTTACACAGGTTTTCATTTTTTAGGCCTTTTTTATTTTTTATTTCTTATTCTTTGTATTTCATATTGTGTGCTGTTGCATCTAACACATTTAAAAAAAAATATATAATATAGCAAAAGGTCCTGTTATTACCAATATATATGTAAGAATATCATGAATTGAAGCAGAAATGTCCTCTTGGTTTATATCTACACATAATCAACCCTGGATAGAGCCATCAAATCTGCTCTGGGAAAGGATGGACACTCAAGTCTAGATGATAATGTGAAGCAAACCCAGTCCCTGCGTACCAAGGTTTGGTAAATCCATAATACTGCCAGATACACGGCCGACCTATTTTGGGTGGGTTTCGACAAGCTCAAAGTCGGACAAGGTGGACGCGGTTGTGAACGCACTAATTGAGCCTGCAAGTAAGGTTAGGAGGTTACAGTCAGTGTTGGAAATAACGCATTATTCCCTGAAGGGGAGTGGCGTCCTAGTGGATAGGACATAGAGCTTGGAATCCTGAGCTTCTGAGTTCAAGCCCCACTCCCACAGACTGCCACTCTGTATCTCTTTAACCCCACACTGCCCCCCGGGAGCCCAACTGTGGCTATGTTACTTTTTCAGTAGGTAGCACTTTAACTAATTCGTTTGTAAAAGTTAGTAATGAGTAAGTCATTACTGCGCTTTAAACAGATTCTTTACTATATATAATATATAGTATAAATACAGACTACAGTTCCCTGGTGTAAGGTCACTCGGCACACCTAACAGCGATGCTCAACTTCAGCATGACCCAGTATAGATCCACTGATTTAACAGCGTTCCTACAGTAAAGCGCTCACTGAAGAGCTGTGATTTGATCATTATGTGCAGGACAAAAATACATTATAATGTATGTAATGATTTTAGTTGAATAGTTTACAATTTCTGGAATAGTGCAAAACCTGTTTAATTATCTTGCAAAATACATTTTATTTTCGCAAAATTGCTTGTTAATCAAATTTTTTTTGCTTCATATATATTTTATAGCCAATTGCAGGCTGCCAATTTAAAAAAAAGACAAAAAAAATATGTTTCTTTTATTCTAAACAAAAAAAACATAATCACATCATATAATCGTGTTGCAAATCACTTGACAAACAAGCCACACCAAAATACAGCAAAGTAGTATTGAATTTTTTTCAGATGTGTAGAGCTTTAAATTAATTATTTGATGTTGTTGTATTTAAAATTCACATAACAGGAAGGTTTTCTAAATTCTTCAACACTTAAGGTCATAAAAAGTAACTGCGTAGTTACTTTAGCTAACCAAACCCAGATACATTTTTGGAGAATAATTGTAACTATAACTATAAATAGTTTCCTTTTTTTGGCAATTTGCTGAACACTGGTTAAAGCTGCTGTGTTAAATAAAGTCACAAAAGGTGAATCAGACTCTGGATCATTATACAATTACCCCATCTAAGCTAGACATATTCATGTCTGTTTGCAAGATCATTAAAAATAAAGGGATCAGATTTGAGAAAAAAAAAAAACAACAGTTTGCATTAAACTGTCTTTAAAGAAATATTTTCTTATGAAGTCATGGAAATTTTTAGGGATGCACGATATTGGGATTTTGGCCGATATCCGATATGCCGATATTTTAAAACTCATGTAGCCGATAACCGATATCGA